GGAGTCATTAATCTGTGACATAAAGGAACTTGAGAGTACAAGAGGGACACTCTTCAGATCAATTTGTCCTACTGCCAATTGGAACATTCAGCCTGGAACCCTAAATGTTTGTTTATTAAAGAGTACCTGTGGTTTCTGCTCTGAATTCATATAAAAATTCTGAGCTCAATGTTATTATTGTGGAGACTATTTTTCTTCTGAAAATTCAGAAGTAGCGATGCAGAAAGGACTGAAAAAGGAAAGTAGATTTCAATTACCAGCTCCTTCCACCACTCCTTGCTTTAACTGAATCATCCATGAATGTAAAATGTGTAGCTATGCTAAATAATACACCTATCTTTGAAAGAAAATTTCACATAGTATACTGGAAGTACCAAGCCCTGTTCTGTGTTTCCATAATAGAGCAGAAAACAGCTCTGTACCCCCGTAAACTCCAAACAGCTTGCTGAGCAGGCAGGGCACTGCTACATGCTTAAACAGGACTTTCCATGCAAGGATCAAAAAAGCATCTTACACTTAAATTTCACAATATTTCTCCAACAAGAATATAATTCAGTTCCCTTTCTGAAGAGGAGCAAGAAAAGCCATCACAGCCACATGGAAAAAAAATGCAGTGCTACAAAGAAAGGGTATAAACCCCTTCTAGACTCCTAGCTCAATCCTGTAAACACTATAGAGCACACATTTCGCAGTACGATCAACGGCAATCAAAGGTTTCCTAGAAGACTCATGATGCTTAAAAGACCCTGAGAAGTCCCCTGGTTTGCCAGGACCTTAAAAAGCAAGACCAGTTATCACATGTGGGTAGCAAGGAGTACGCCGAACCAGCAGTCTAATTTTTAAAGGGTGGTGTGTGTGACTCTATTTTTCTTCCTCCAATTGTACTTTAAGATAGAGGCGGAGAACCTTTTCTAGCTGCTGCTGAGTTCTGAACTAAGCAGAAACCTGGGGATGCTATATATCATTTAGAAGGTATCTTTGTGCTGTCTCTGGCAGGTATGCCATAGGGTGCCTATCTCTGGCACACGTAGCAAAGATTTCAATGCGCAAAAGGAAACTGAGAACACTTCTTTATGTAGAAGATACAGATGAAGTGGAATTGACTGCAGGAGTTAATAAACAGTAAAGGCCTATCTAATGAATGCACGAAATGGGTATGGACTGTAGAACTCTGTGTTATCAGCTGTACACCAGCCTCTTGCTGGGTAAGAAAAAAGCACTTTGAATCAAAAGGATATTTCCAGGATGCAGGGAAAAGCTAAATCTAAGCAACTCCAAGCAAACAGCAAAACTCCACATTATGAAAGGGTAAAATGGTAAGACTTCTGTTTGAAAACAGGAATATATATATGTAATCTATCCAAGCAAAGAGTCAGCCAAGGAGACTGGAGACACACCTGAGCATCCCTCACCATACAGCGAATAGAAAATATGAAGGTCACCACAGAAAGCAAGTGGTCCCGGATGCAGACAGAAGAGAAACTTGTTTGCACACCCAGAAGCATCACAAGAATCCTAGTGACATACCAGATGCCAGGGGATTTTAACTGTGTCCCTCTCTAATTGAGGATGAAGCACACACCAACACCGTTATCTGGCCTGAAGATACTGGCTTACAAAATATGGAACAAACAATAGGAACAGATGCTCATTTGGCCAGATTTCAATAAGCCTCATTAAAATCAAACACCCTGTCCTTGGAGCTCAGGTTCATGCTACATTTCTACCTTGTTTAAGCACCTAGCACCAATTACTGAGAAAGCTGTTCACTTGTGGTTGCACATCAGCAGTGTCATAAACCAGAATCCTCTCACAGACATTTTTTGGTTTCTATAGACACAAACAGAAGGAGTTTCATATGTGTGTGTGTATGCACATATAAAAAAAAAACCCCACTATTAGAGATTTCCTTTTTAAAGATATTAGGTTAAATATACATCAGGCTTATTGATCACTCAAAAGCAATGTGCAAAAAGATGCCGAAACATTAACAGATAGATAAACTCCTGAGGACAGAAGATAACGGATGCTATAGATCATAAAATCATAGAATGGTTTGGGTTGAAAGAGACCTTGCAGATCACACGTGTGGCATCTGTGCACCACAATATATAATTTTTAGTTTACGATCCCATCTCTTCAGTCAAAACATGCACACTTGAAACTATTTCTACTGCTCCTTATTCGCTTCTACATAAATGCGCCCAAGTCCTATCAATGGAGTTTCAGAGGACAAATACCAGAAAAGCGAGGCTAAGAACAATATACAGAGATTCACAAAAACATGATACTCCAGTTTTATTTTTAAATGTCTGCACCTGGCTGCACAGGCAATGTGATGTCGTATAGAAAACTGGGCAGGCAAGGTTTCTTAACAAACACGGATTTCCTTGAGTAGTCAAAAAGACAGTGGCCCTATGCTATTTTCTCTACTTGAAAAATGCATATCTGTTTATAATAAACTTCTTTTTTCCACTATTTTAGAAAGAAGGCCAGTTGTTAGGTTAGTAATTTACATCTGGCTGTCCTGTACAGAAGCACTTGTTCACAACAAAGTATCTAAGAAAAAGATACCTCAGAGTGTATGTGTGAGGCCTCAAGAGAAACTGCATTTCATTCCCTGAACAAACTTTAAAAACATCAGGCATATGGTCAGTAAATGGCATTAATGCAGTCTTAATGGAGCACAATCTTCTTTTTTGCAAGTAGGTGCAGAATCAGAAATTCGGTTTTCAGAAAAGCCATTGCTTCTTGCAGACTGACTGACACATCTGACAAGCACATGATAATGCTGACTGTGGCTCCTAGTCAGGGCTGATACTGCACTGCAGAATCAGAAAAAGTAAATTGTTATTTCCAAAATAATCTTATTTGTCTTTTGCTGCCAGTTAAAAAAAAAAGAAAACCCTACAATACTTTTCCAAAAGTGCTGCAGATAAAGAAACCTGCAGTTACAGTTTCCACTCTTCAGCCTCTTGACAAAACACTTTTAAGTCCAAGGCTGTAAGACACATCAATCATGGAGGATAAAACCCACCATGTGCACAGGGCTAAGAGAGGGCCTCTGAACTCCTCAAATCCCATTTAAGCCCTTCACCTACAGAACATTTAACAGTTGTGCCATTTGCCTACGCCATCACTGAGCCACCTGCATTTAGCTAACTGGATTTATAAATGCTTCAATACTTCTGGAATTTGAAAGACGAGCTTTCCTAGAACCTATTTCATTTTGGTTTGCAGCTGGGAAGGCACCAAAAAGGAGTACAACAGCAACACAAGCTAGTACTAGAGGTATTATATCCCCAGAAACATCCTTATGTTCTTCCTTATATAAACAGATAGATTACATAAATATATACATATTTCTGTGATTCTATGATTGTGTCACAGTATATTTGCATATGTTTGTCCTACAGCATACAGAGACACAATACTTCAAAACACAAGCTTTCCATCTCCAATGTCATGATTCAAATTCATCCTCAAGAACACGAAACAGGTTTTGCTGTTCCTGCCTTGAGTCCTACCTGCACCTTACTATGACCCTGCTGAAAATATAGTTTTTGGGAAGTTTACTATTTAAGGTATTGGTATGTTAAAGGTATGTCAATTCACTTAGTAAGTGTCATCCTCAGTAAGATGATCAAGTCAAAAAAGACCTATGAAGACCTATAGCCTATAAGGCTATAAAGCAGATGGGGCTGGAGGGGTTTACTCTAGTTAGCTTGCCGTGAGCTGCTCCATGGCATCAGAATGATTCAGCCAGAGCTACTCTAGTGCTTTGCTTAAAACAGTTTCACCAGCTTTGTATCAAAGTGCCTTAGGAAGCACAACGCAATAGCAGTCATCTTAGGTTAAGAATGGAGGTGTTGGTATTAAATATTAGCTTTTCTACCAAGATTGGCACCTTCTCTTAGAACTGCTTCTCCCATGGAAGGCAACCTGGCATATCAAACAGAGTTTAGGAGTGCTAAGCCACCTGCAAGCACCATGCCAAACGTTTACGATGGCTAATTCCTTGACAGGAATCAAAAGTAATGGGACATCCAAACTCCACCAGCAAAATCCCAACAAAGATTCAACTGGGAAATTATCTTAAAGGTCAACACCAAAGCAGCCCTCGAAGGGACAAGGCACCTTTAACAACACTCTGAAAAAGGACTTCAAGAAGACCAAGGAATATATAACTGAAAGAGAAAACTTTCAAGTGGCTGGGTTTGTGGTGACAGAGGAGCAACAAAATGCCAGCTGGTTTCGATAACAAATGGCTGCGTGCACTGATCTGTCCTGCATGCCCATTCTAAACTTCCTTTCAGTGGAAATACGAAGCTTACACAAGGTTAAAATGCATCGTTTGCGTGGCCTTTTCATAGATACAGTATCATGGTTCAAATGTTTTCCATTCACAAACAGCCCTATGGCTGTTGTTTTACTCTAGTTAAGCGATTTTTTTTTAAGAAAAGAAGGTGGCTAATGGTACTTCATCTTTTTCAATCACATCTACTGCAATTCTCAAGGATTGACTTTTCTCTGATGCACTAATATATCCATTTCCTTGCTGTTCTGACTGCTGTATCGCCCTCTTCCCTTTCCCTTAAATACAGCATTCTCTATTTTAATTGAAAGGTCTTTCTTCTTGCACCTCCCCTCTGGTAGCTAAGGAGGGAACCATGATACAAACAGCTTCCACGCAATATTTCTAAGCATGTATCTGGACACTTATTTGAAGTTGCAACAGCTAATGGGTTATCCCACTGGAAAAACTTGTGTAACAGAATGAAGCCTTCACTCCTAGATAGCTCAGGACTCAAGTAATCTTTCCCGACAGAGAAAAACAAGTCTGAAATCTCTACACTGAAGGACAGAAAAGCCTACCCAAAATATTTGCTTTCTGCTTAAATATCTTTTTCTAACTGTAATTTTTAACAAGAACTTTTCTTTGCTTAACAATGAACAATCTGCTAAAAACCCCTAAAAACCAAAGCCATTCTCTTACTTACTTTGGCCACACAATTTTCAGTCTTCATAGCAGTGCTTCCTAGACATACTGTTTCCTGGTTTAAGCACAGTCTGGCACAGCTGTTGTAGGTCTGCAGAAAGATTAAAATGTTTATGAATAGAAGAACACAATTTTCTTTCAGGCACCAAATTTTTGGCACAGGAACCTACAACTCTACTATATCTCCTTTTTTCCTAAGGTGTAAACATTTCAAACCAAAATAAACTAGTTTACAGCAAAAGTCTATGTTCAGGGCATGCATGTCCTCTCAGAAGCTACGCACAATTTTATAGTTCTGAGGTACCAAAGAAAAAAAAAAAGTTATTTTCTCCTCTTTTCCTTTTAAAGAGGACAAAAATATCTGATCTCAGTTGTTTGACCTGTCACAAAATTCTGCATAACTGAACAATTAAAGCAAGGTGGTTTCTATACACTAGTTATCATGGCATATGTCAAATGTTAATAGACATCATCCGTGTTTACCAGGTAAAAATACATGGGGACAGTATGTAGTTTATAATCAGAAGGGAGCAAATGCAGACCGTACCTCCCGACTTGGAAAGCTTTTTCTTTTCAAGGAGAACGTCTTTTTTCACTAACTCACACACTGTTCTGCCCAGGGGACCATCAGCTTGGACTGTGGACTTCAGAGTCTTTGCAGAACATATTACTCACAGTGTCTCCCTTTTTTAAGGGCAGCCTATGAATGCTATTTATGAAGTGTGCAACTCTTGTTGATGTGGCTATTTAACCAAAATGCCTGAAGAACTCGGGAGTTTCTAATGGAGGCTTCCTTCCACCGCTACTTTCAACACCTTTTTAATTATTACTTGATTAAGCTTACATTTTCTAGTAGGAGGAGGGGTATAGCAGCACCTAAGAGCTCTGGTATTGCATTAACACCCCAGCCCCTGTTGCCATTTACAGCAAACTGCTCCCAAGCAGACGTGGCAGCCCAAAAGCGAGCACGCACTCGCTTCGTTGCAAGAGTATTAAGTGGACCACAGAGAAGACGTTGCTACCTCAAATAGTTGTGTGGGGAAAACCCAAGAAGCATGTTGAAAGAGAATGAAATTAAACTTGCTACAAAGACACTGGCAAGAGCACTAAGTAAAACATATGAACATTCATGATATTCCTAAGATTGCCTTAAGGGGAGGACACACACAGATTTGTAGAGAACTGCCTGTCAGTTCCCTCCCTGCAATACTCGCTGGCAAACTCTGAAGATGTTGCTTTCAGGGCTTGCAACCCATTTCTATTTCTTTGCTTCGAAACTAACTAAGCCCAAACCTGACGTGGGTTACAAAACCTGGGGGCAACAGGGGCATGCTAAAGGCTTCCTAAACCCTCTGCTCCAAAGCTATGTCATCGAAAGCCCGATCCCTTCAGCGCCAAGCACCAACAAACCATCTCCCCTTTTTGCTCCTCTGCCACAGGCCTGACTCTGCACAAGGTGCAGTCAGTAGCAAAACACAAACCGGCAGAGGAACATATCAGAAAGGACATCAGAGGGGAGAATGAAAAGAGATTAAAAGCAGGTTAGGCTGAGTGATAGGAGGTATGTCCACGAAGCCAGTGCTCCTACCAGTCTCCAGCTCAGGAGGACGGCAGGCACCAGCTGATGGGAAGTGGGTGTTTACCATCAGTTTATAACATTATTCACCTAAGTTCTGATGATCCCTGTTAAACACTCTTACTGCCCACTATGGGAAAGGAGAACACTGGCTTGGGTGGCTTTGTACAGGTCCAGCACAGTACAGACACTCTTGGGGAAATTCAGGAAATCACAGTCCCTTCCACCCTACTTCTTCACAGACACACACACACCCCCTCTTTTAAGTTCACCATGAAACAGAAACAAAAAGGAGCATGGAAGCCCTATCTTTTCCATCACTTTAGCAGTTCATGTTTCATTTCTCAGTGAGGTCTCTAACTAGAAAACAGCCAGTGACAGACAGGAATGCAGAATATCCTGGCTCCAACAGATCTTCTTACAAGTCATAACACCGATATCTGCTGTGACTAGCAGCCAGCCAGCAATTTCTGACTCTAGATCCAGAAGAAGAAGCTGAAAAAATCAAACACACGGATGCTTTCCGAGTGCCGTGCAGGCGAACAGAATGAATCTTGCAGCAGGAGAGGTTCAGGTTCAAACAGGGATTAGGCCACAAGCAAACAGAAGTCTGACAGACTCAACTTTGCAAATATTTGCCAACACCATAAAACCATCACGCTGGTATGCACAGAATTTTCTTCTCGGAAGAAAGATCGGCATGGCATAAACTACTGAAGATTGTGGCTTAGATGTAGTGGCCCACCTGGTGGAGAGAAAGTTGATGCCATTTGCTTTGCACTGATGTTCAGACAATACCATGCAAACTTCATTTTATAAGCACTGTGTTAGTTAAATTCAACCACTGTGTTAAATTCGGCCACATTCTGAAGATGAAAAATCACAGAGTTTGTTGGTAAGATCCTTTGTTCAGTATTTACACTTGTGTAATTTAACCCATTTATTGTAAATCTGTCATTTCTTTCATTTGCAGTTTAGTTCCTAAAATTCCAGTAGCAGGATTTCTGCACAAACTAACTGCCACATACTGCAAATTTTATGAGAAGCTCTGACTCAAAGAAAGCTACTACTAACTCCACTTTGCAGATGAAAAGCTCAGCCACAAAAAACACTTAATGAAAGCAGTAAGGAAGCCTGTGGCTCCACGAGCTGAACCATGAACTGAATTCACATCTTGTCAATCTTTTTCCTCCCAATACAGGTATGCATAAACCTTGGTAGCAAGCCAGCTTTTAAAAAGCCGGCCTTATAACAGGCTCTCTCTCACATTTACAAATGGGAAAGATCACACACTTCAAATATACAACATGAAACACTAAATGCTAAATCTAAAAACCCTAGAACTTTCTGAGAAGGAAGGAAGCTCATTACACTACTATTCAAAAGTTATGTGCATGTTACAGTGTAGATACAAATAACTATTTCTATGTATTGCTTAATTTTTATTACTTCCATTAAGTATTACATCTCAGTGTCAACAGCACCAACTGAATTTCCAGCATAACTTGCTCGTCAAATCCCACAATACCAGGAATAGCAACACTTCATGGAACTAGTACAGTATAAATTTAGAGCAGACAAAATGAAACACTTCTTCACAAACAGGCAGGGAACTTCCAGAGCTTGCCTCCCCAGGACACTGTGAGGAGAAACAACATCAGCAAGAGCCAGATGGATTAAACAAACTCATGGGCAGCAGGTCCACAGAGCAGAGGCATCCCCCAGACACCCCCAGTGCAGCAGCGGTAGATGCTGCAGGAGCAGGAGGGGAACTGGGCACAGGGTGCAGCCAGACCCGTTTGTTCTCATTTAACAGCATCTTCCAGCGACAGCGCTGGGGTTGGCACTGGATGAGCAGACTCCAGTTTTGACTGACCTGGGCATTCCCGCACTATCAGTCCCTCTCTGTCCTTTGACAACAGGCCAACAAACTTGAATTTTTCCTTCCCAACCTTTTCAGCCAAAGAAAGAACAATGTGCTTTTACTATGAGAATCAACTTCAACATTACAGAAAGATCTATGTGTGTGCCAAATTACCCGATGACCATTTAGTACTTCAGTAGCCCTTTGTTTCTCAATAAAAGTAGTGGTGGAAAAAGAAAACTAAAATGAGTATATGTAACAGATTCAACCCCTCATGATGCAGATCTGAGAACCGAACATTCAGTGATCTTCAGTTCAATGCCATCACTATGTTTGTGAAGTTACAAAGTTCTTATTTTCTCATTCTCACAGAAGAATGCATTATTAGTCTTGTGGGATGAATAAAAAGGGTAAAGAAGATTCATAGGTGTGTTCTATAATATGTTTAAAAAGGTTTAAAGCAAAAATGGCAAAGAAAGGCTAGTTCGCCCTTAAAGTCCAGGGGAACAAAAGAGTAATGTCAGTCTACTTAACAGGTCTCAATGGAAATGTATTGATAATGTTGCAAAGAAGCTGCATCTGGCTCCAAGTCAAGTCATAAGAAGCTGGGAAAATATATAGTGAAGGTAGTACTATATGGCTGCCTTCTAATGTTTCTCTGTAGGCAGCAGTTACTGGCTATTGTGAGACTCAAGACGACTGCTGGACACGGAGGTTTGTTTTCATAGGATATTGCCATAACTGGGTTCATACACTAGCAGTTACTAGTGAACAGACCTAACTGAAAGCAGAATGAATGTTGTATCATCAAGTAGTCATGAAGAGCCCTACATTTTAGGTGAAACATTCGAAGGGTGTCTCATGCTACACTGCAACATTGGTCTCCTTTCATTCACTTCGATGCCTGCAGGAACACTGACTAACCTAGAAGAAAACCGAGAAAACCAAAACTAGAACCAAGCCTCAGAAAGGCAAATTTCTCAAGCTCACCTTTAAAACTTGACCCTTTTACGAATCTCATCTAATCTGCACCGAAACTGTTCAAGTTTGTCCTCACCTTTCATCAAGATAAGAGGTTTCTTCGCCAAGGAAAAGCAGCCTGAAATGGTAGCCCGGTTCTACACCACAGGCAGATAGCTTTGCGTTGGAGTGCTTTAATATGTTTTTATATTGCATATATAAAGCATGCAAACATAAACCAGTTTGTTGAAAACTACCCTTTTTGTGGAAGCTGGCCGTAATTCTGAACAAGTTTTCAATTTTCACACTGCTGCTAGGGTAAAACATTTTAAAGAGTTTTAATTTTTACAGCGGCTTCAATGACACGAGATTATCTAACAAAGTAATGGTTAATCAATAGAGGGTTTAGTTGTCAGGTGAAACATATAACACACTAAAAGGGATTGATTGCAAGGTTCCTCCTTATTTACTGGGAGGTATATATTTAAAATGACACAAACTTGTTACCAAGCTGCATTCCTTTAACCTTGCAAAAGCCGTTTGAGAACAGTGTTAAGCAGCCCTATAGCAAAACAAGCTCTACTGAAAAAAAAAAACCAACAAACAAACCACAAACCCACCCTACAAATATATGGGAGCACCAAATCATGTCAGAAGCAGAGGAACCAGAAAGCTGCATTCACTTTCAGCC